TGGCATTTTGGTGCGATTGTCCGACTTTGTCGGCTAGCTAACAGTGTCTCCCATGCCTGGACTTAATTTAATTTCCAGGCTTGGGGTGGGGATAAAGATACAAGTGGAGAACATGACGCATTTTCTTAACCGCAACTAGTCTATCTGAGGTTTTCTTCGTCACACAGCTACAGAAGCTGACATGATTTTAAAGAAAAAATAAAATAATATTTTTGAACTATATTTACATATGTAACTATATTTACATACACACATGTATTTTCATGTTTCGCATTGTTGATTTGATGATTTGTTATTTCAAGTCAAATTTATGGTATTTATACCAAGAATACCAAGAAGTATTTATACAAGCGTTCTGACTTCAATAACTGATATTAATTTAACAATTAATGAACACTAAGATAATAAAACAATGAGGATATTTATTTCAATGCATATCTAATATACTGTCAGAGAACCAACATTCTAAATTAAAATGAAAATATGCTCATATTACAGAGAAACGTATTAAGAAATCCTATTGACGCACTTCTGTTGGCTGTTCTTGGGACAAAAAAATATACAGTTTCTGGAAAATAGTTTGAATTGAACGTGTTGAACTTGAGCTTATGTGGGTATCTGTTTCAAAATATGATCACAATTGAATTGTGCCGTTCACGGACATACTCGTCTATAAACAGATTCCTCAGAATACGTATTCTTCGTGGCTCGTTTTTGGGTTTTGTTCCAAAAACTGTGAAAATTTAGCACAAAGTTAAACGAGTTCTTACCGAACCGTTCAAAATTGTGAATACCCTTCTCCCTGCGCAGAACAAACTCTATATTCACAAAGAGAGATATTAAAAATAGCGGATTCAAAGACTTGCGTTTCATTGTCTACATTTTAGAAATAATGTGACGTTGGGTGTTTCTATTTCTATGAAAAATGTTATAAGTTATGGATTGATAGGTATATATAGATTTTTATTTTTGAAGAGAAAAGTGATTAAGTATTGTTGTAAATTCTTTAGATTCTTTACAGATAACTGACTTACAAGTGGTTATTACAAGTTTTCATTTCTCAACTCCTAGTGAGATGATTTCCCAGACCTCATAATATGCTGTTGGTGTAGTATAACACTAAAAACACTTATAATAATAATAACAATAACAATAATAATAATTTTTATTATTATATATCAAATATTAACACTAATGATAATAGCAATACTCGTACTAATAGGGTAATAGAATAATTCATTTTATAATTTCACGTAATACACAAAATTCTGCCTATTATGATGCAACACAAAAATCAATAAAGAAGCAGATACGCACCATAGAAACGGTAGCTTACAAACAAATACTATGCAATGGTCGCTATGGTGCAACTAATGGCAGAGATGAACCGTGGCACGGAAAATGAACGATGTAGTGAGTTATGTTGTTACAGCGTACGTTCCCCAGGACAGCCGTTATGGTGAATTCACATATTCAGGAAAATAATCGTTGTTATTGAGAGGTACCCAAGTATCTCAAGGGAAATATTTAGTAAAATAATACGAAATAATAGCTCATTTCAAAATATAGGTATCTGATAATGATAATGAAGGAGCAGTATGTTACATTTTCAAAGATGACATTGAGTAGTCATGTTGGACATTGAAGTAGCAGATGCACATACTGTTAAGTAAATATTAGGACGATAACTTTTTCGAGGCCCACATGAACAATAAACACGTAAAGATTATAGCCATCGGTGGCTCGTTAGCGTGCTCGCTTTCCACGGCCAAACCCGAGTTCGATTTCCGGTCGGAGTAAATACTAAGTATGTGATTTCCTTGCAATGTCCCAGAATCTGCTGCAGTATGACGATGAGAAAGCTCACTTCTCAGGTTGAGGATACCAAAATAGACGTAGGGATGGCTATGTGCTTACTACATACACCTCTTAACCCATGGCCACAAAGCCGGGACGCTGTTGGTTATCTTTATCTCATAATGAGATGTACCAAAGTACATACATAAATAAATTGAAGATACCTTGGAGAAAATAAACATAGTTGTGATTTGAGACGTGTAAATTTACTGAATATACATTTTTTTTTATTTTGGAAGCGTCATCTGACGAATCTCAAGAAAGATTGACATCCAATGATGACTCATTTTAGTAAAGGCATAGGCGTCAAGTCAAGATAGATGACTGTCGGGAAACGAGTAACTCCCCCCCCCTCGTCCATTAACCCCTCACCAACACGCTCCCTCTGTCCCTTGCCCCTCGTCAGCTCCAGCAATTGTTCTCTTGCCCCCTCGCCTACTCACTCCTCAGCAAATCGTGTTCAAAACCAACCCTGAGGAAGACCACGACAAGATCGAAACGTCGGCGCCACGACCTTTGATGCAGTCAGTCAAGATAATTTACATGACTCTGCCTGTGAAAACCGTAATTTCTCATCCTCTCTTCAACTCGCTTACTCTCTCCTCACTCCTTGTCCCATGTTCCATTCACCCCTCATCAACTCGACAAATTCGTGACTTGCGACCCCCTCGCTCACTCACCAAATCTTGCACTCACCCACTCGCTGCTCGGCCCCTCAACTTCTCGCTCATTCGTCCCTCTTGCCATTTCGTCCTCTCAATAGCCAGTTCTCACTTCCGTTCTTTCGTCCCTTCGCCAGTTCCTGCGTTCGCCATCTTGCCCCTCCCTCTTTGCCTTCTTTTCGCTCCATCTCCAGCTCGTGCAACGCCCGTTCTCCAACTCTTGCACCGACGGAGGAGGCCCAGATCAACTACTGTTGCAAGTGCAGCGCTTCTGACCGATAGGTCCTAGTAGATTTCGCCTCCGTACCGTGGTGGTCTAGCAACGTAGCTGTTGTTCGGAAAATATTCCTAGAGGTCAATCGCATTGTATGGGCAGTTTTCCGTGGTTTCTTCGATAAATATTAAGTGAATGACCGATTACAATCTCAGACGTGCAACGCAATCTTTCCTTCTTCATCCTTATCACTTCTCCTATGCCTACAAAAACCAATGCCAATTTGTATGCACTACACTATCTTATTGTCTGAGTAATATTTATGTCTACTTGACAGTTGGGATGCGGGTACAGCGATGTTGTCACTTACTCAGGCTGTAGACACAGGTCGTGGGGTCGTTGTTGCATCAGACAGCAGTAACACACAACAGTGACAAGAAACAAACCGCAATCAGAGCACACAACAATAGATGACATACAACCGCAATCATAATGCCTAACGAAAGAAGTGATTGCGCTCTTCAATTTATAGTTTCTTCTCGTTATGAGATTTAATTTTTTACTTACTAAGCATTGACAACTCAGCAGTGACATCATCACAATTTGAAGCCTGTTATTAGGTAACGGAACTCCCGCTCCACTGTCAGCCGGGAACTGTCAAATAGACAGTATTATTCATAGTATAGGGCGGTAGACGAGTCAGGAACTTAGTAATTATTCCGAATAGGGTGGTATACAGTGGAACAAGATACTTGGAGGGGGAAACCGCAGGCACGCATGTAGACCGGACCGTGTCTCACGTCCCAAGGGGGAGCAACACCACCACCGTCCGGTGAGTAACATGCATACGGGAAGAACAACCAAAACCCATGACGCTTCCGGAAACACAAAACAACCAGTCAATTCAATTCCCGCTGTCTCCCTCTCGTGCCCTGCTCCCTTCCAAATGGCTACGCCCTCTCGTGGGCCTCGCCCACTCACCCACCCACTTGGCGCGCTGCGTCCGATCGATCGTTCGTCCGATCGATCGTTCTGCATCGATGCTGCAATCGACGCGGCCTTGTTCGCCCGCGCGGACCGGAAGGGCAGCGGATGCCGCTCGCTTCTTTCGGCTTCCGCCCCGCGCACTCGGAATGCGCGGAGGATTGCGCGCGGCCGGGAGAGCACGCAAGCGGGCTGCTTCATTGCTCGCACGCCCAGCACAGGCGCGTTGGCTCACACTGATTTATTTGTCATTCCAGTCGACTGGTTCCGTAAGTGTAGTGAATGGTTTTAATTGCGGAAGTTGGCGGTGATCTTCCACCACTGGATGGCGAGATCCGGCACCGAACTACCCGTCAGCTGGCGGGGCTTTCCCCAATGAGGTATCTTCCGCCAAAGGGGCACCCATCCAGCTGGGACAACCTCTAAGTTCCCGACTATTCTCTCATCGCCTACGACAGTGCACGAGTGCACGTAAGCGTTTCTGGGTGTGAGTAGGGGTGAGTCTGTAACGAGGAAGAGAAAGGACAGATCGCGGGTGGCCTGTGGCCCGTTTGTTAGGATACTGCCCCGGCATTCGCCTGGTATTGATTAGAGAAATAAGGGAAAAGTTCCGATCAGAGCAGCCGGACACTGGAATTCTCCACTCAGCAGCTGAACTAGACCTAGCTATGAAGCTAGTGTCGACGTTGTCGGGACTTAAACCCAAGGACCTCCCAGTCAGAGGCACTGCAGTAACGTCAATATTCATGCCTTGCGCCACCGAAGTCAATGCGCATGGTGAAAGGAGAAGGGGCAGTACTGGTTTCTCAGGGGAGGGGAAGGAACGAAGTCTGCCAAATTTTATTCCGGATGTGTTTATCAAATGCATGTTTTGCTTTGATTTTTAAGGGATACTGTATGATTTTTGAGCTGAAGGATTTAGAGAAATTTATTTTTTAATGAATTTCAAATAACGTGCGCTTGTAAGTTATCGAAATGTGAGGAAGAACCTTTAGCTTTTCCTCTTCTCGTGATTTAGCCGCCATATCTTTCTGACCTTCAGCGGCCAAAAGTGTACGGACTTTTAATAGTTTAACAGCATACGACAGGAGGAAGAGATCTTCTCTGTTTAAATGACATCCAGTGAGAGTATTTGGATCCTTGTTCAGCATTTTTGCCTTCGAAGGCTCTGTACGATACATTTTCATTTCATTTTATAACACACCAATTTGCTGAGATTAAGGTGGGAATGGACCGCTTACTACTGTTCCAATCGCTTTCATGACGCATGATTTGTGTCGTAGTGGCTTCTATTTCCACTGGATGAACGCATCATGTGCGAGGGTCATATCGCACTCCAGCGCTGCGGTGGTGGCCAGAGCAGTCGAAAGCAGAACGGCTCGCTCCAGGTGCAAACCGAAACGATAGATCTTTCTCTCTTCTCTCAGGGCAAGTGTACGCATGTGATCGAAGTTGCTGCATTGAGTAATTGAAGTAGTAGTGAAATTGAATTCTTTTTCACAACTTCAAAAAACATGCATCAGCGGCTCCTAAGAAGGGTGAAACATTGCGTGTCATTGTGGGGGGAAATCTGTGGTACGCAAGACTCGCGTTAAGGATTTTGAGGAAAAGAATGTAGCTACTGCGCTACACTCGGGTTTGCCTGCCACACAGTTACACGCGCGAGGACTGAGTGTACTGAGTGTACTGAGTGTACTGAGTGTACGAGTTTTTCACTCGTACACTCGTTCACAGAGATACTCGGTTTTCACTCTCAAGAGCTATGTTCTTTATTTACTGGGTTGTGCATTTAATCTTAATACACAAGGCACACTCAGTTTTTAACTGTTTTTGACGTAAAATTAAATAAAATAAAATGAATGAACATTTAATTATTTTACATCTTCTTTTAATTTCCTAATTCGACATTTTAGATTTCTTATAATAATGAATTATTTGTTATTTCTCTTCATTACGAATTTATTACTCAATTTTACGAATTTTACCCTTTTCGCTGATTTAAATATAATTCGAAATATATCATGCGTTCTTCTTTTCTAAAGGTAAAGGAGATATTCCTAGAATATACTATGGCGGCATTTTAATTATATTTCTGTTCGACATAAGTATCGGCTTTGATTGATTTAGCGTTGTTACTAGCATAACATTTTGCAATATTTCCAGGAAAGTTTTACACATAATCTTTCCGAAATGGAATTTTACACATTCATTCTTGAGAGATGCAAATATAAAAGCTTGCTTCCTTCCATGTTTTCAATATATTTTGCTGAGAAATAACGTAGAAGTATGTTTTTAAATCGTAAGCTGATTTCATTCTGCTGCTCAGTTGAAGACTGCAACGAAAAACATTTTTTCTGAGAACACTGAATGAGAATAATATAAAGTAAAAAAGTCTTCGGACTACAACAGACAAATTAAAGTCTTGCAGTTCCTCTCAAGAGTTCTCATATAAAAAGCTTTGCTGTTTCTTGCACTTTACTACACAGGTGCTTCCAGTGGTGGCTCGTGCTTACATTGCAACTTCCACATCTCCCAGATAATCGAAAAACATTTTATATGTTAGGATTACACATTTTTATTTTAATGACATTCAATATTCAGTATATTGCAGCAATATCAAAGTGTATAAAGTCATTTTGAATCAAAGAGCGCAAATTAGCAAGATAATTGCGATACAGCGTTTCTGAAAATGCGCTAATTCAAGTTCATTTACATTCTAACAATTGCTTTACATTTACGGTACAAAAACACAATTATATTTGTTTCACAAATGCATTCAATGATGAAATTCTCTTGTAAATATTAACGTCATGCGTAATAAAAGAAAAATATATGTAATACAAAAAAAGTCACCTCATGTCTCATTTTAAAGAATGTCACTTATGTCATGTGATTCTGTTCATTTTAATATAGCTGTACAAATGGGACAATTCTAAGTTTCTAAGTAACAATTGAGATAGTTTTTGAGAGAAAATTGTTTGCGTATTTTCTTTGGAAATTGTCATGTTTTCATTCAAAATTATGCAAAATTTATTCATATTTTTAAAAAAATGTACATGACATCATTTAAAAATCTGACTGTAAAGAAAATGTTTCTTAAGAAAAATATTCTTCTTCAATAATAATTTGTGTGACCACTTAGCCCCAACTTTCGCATACTGTATTTGATTTTTGACCCTAAGAAAGCAGTGGGTAGACCGTTGACACTCTTATTGGTGGTGAGATCACAGTCATGTTGGTGGAAATGACAAATGCAAAATTCTAAGAAATGCGTATTAAGATATGTTGTTTTTGTTATGAAATTATAGGTAAGCCGAAGGACAAAATTTGGAATATTGATAACTTCGACTTTAACATAAAGCGGTAGAAGATGCATTACATCATAAAGTTAAAGTTTGTTGGAACTTTGCAAAGAAAAGGAGAATAAAAAAACAATGGAGAAATTTGAAAGATTCAAATTATGTATGTGCAATATAACGACATTTGAATGACTGACCATCTTTTTTTGGAGGGGGGCGTTAAGAAAAAAAAATAAATGAAATACTGATGAATCCAAAGAATGTCATCATTAGGCTTACATTATCATAACATTGCACCAGATAGAGAAGAAATTTGTCGCCTACTCCACACGACTCTCGCGGAAAGCCATCGCGGGCCACGGCCCTTTCGCCCCCGCTGTCACGCCGCGCGAGATTAAAATGCTCGGTCTAATCAGCGTAAGTAGATTATTCCGGGCGCGGCTTAAGCCCATTCATTAGAGGAAGGCCGGCCAGCACTGCGCGGCGCGGCGCGGCGCGGCCCGGCCCGGCGTCCCTGCGCGACGCCTAATGAACCCGCGCGCCGAAGCGCACATGCAGATCGCGGCGCGGCGAGGCGTGTCAACGCGAGCCATCTAGGGACGCTAATCCGAACTAGCGGTGAACGTGGCCTACTGATTTCCGGAGATTAAGATGTAGTGGTACTTTTGTTGATTGATTGATTAGTGATTCCGGGTGCGTCAGCTTCTAAGGTAATTACACCCGTGCTTGTTTTCAACGCGGGAGTTAGCGGTGAGCTTTCGCCGCTGGATGGTGAGTTCCGGCGCCGACCTACGACGGCTAGCACGGTTTTCCCTCACCAGGTACCTCCCACCAGCGTGGCACCACTCCAGCCGGGAGAAGCTCTCAGCTCCCGCCTGGTTTCCCGGTATCTGTGGTAGTGAAGTGCATCTAAGTGTATGTGTGAGTAAGGAGAAAGAATAGGACCCCGGTGTGAAAGGAAAGATGGCCCGTGGTCCCTGGACACGTTTGTTAGGGTACTGCTCCTGCATTTGCCTATTGTTGATGGGAGAAACCAAGGAAAACCACAGATCAGAACTGCAAGCCGGTAGAATTCTTCTCCACACACCGGTTGAATTTGACCTAGATATCTAGCCAGTGTAAAAAATCCTGGCACCCGACCGTATTCGAATCCTAGGGCCTCCCGGTCATACGCACTGCAGAAACGTGTTTATATTATGAAGCATATACATTGTTCATTGAAGGCTTGGAGAGGAAGGAGGTTTGAAGAATTGATGTTAGCGAAATTCAAATATCGCTTTCAAAATAAAAATAAAATAATCTTCTCCCCCCTACGTCACATACAGTTTTAACTGTTTTTGGACTAAATAAATCTAAATCTAAATAAAAAATATATCTTGTAAAGTCTGCTATTTTTTCGAAACGAATCACACGTTCTTCTTTAAGCATTTAACATTTGTATATATGATACAATTTCTTTATTTTGGCTTTCTGACATAGCATAGAAGATAGAAAATAATTGGTTTAACGTTCGCCTGTCCCTTCATCTGTTTGAGTGAACAGCGCTACAAGCTAATCTTGTACTGGATTTTCATCAAAATTGTTTTTATCCGGTCATCTCGCTGGTGTACCAGCCAATTGAATTTGAATTTTCATTTTCGGGTACTTTTCATTAGATCCTAAGAACGTTTTAAAATTTCCTTCAGAAATGATTTTAAATCTCTAATGAAACTGCATACGTTTGTAAATGTTAAGCACATACCTTTTTCGTTGCGTTGTGTACATTTTTGGAAATTGCAAGAGTTTAAACTTTTTTACATATTCTACAACTACGATATTGAACATAAGACACTTTTCATAATGATATTTGTTCACTAAAATTAGATTTTTAAATAACAGCAGGTAAAACTGTTTTGGAAACATTAGTAGTTGCTGCATTGTGACTGCATTGTGACAACGTTTAAAAATTACGTAAAAAAATTTGTCAAATCTCGAAATTTGTTTTTAGTTTTTTTCTTGAAATTCTTCGATTTTCATTAAAGATTCTGAATTTTATAAAATTGCTAATGTTCAACTTTGTTTTTAAAATGTCGGGAAGGTTGTTTGTCGACTCAACTTGCTGCTGTTGAGGTTACGCTAATTGCTTGCTAAATCTTGAGATGCTGAGAACAAATCCCAGCGTCAATAGGTACGACATTTGCGACACTTTTGACAGTTCAAGTAGTATTAAAATCGTATGTAACCGTATAGTTAAGAAGTGCCTGTTATTGTAGCACCACAGGTTTACTTTCTTTGCACTTTGTCTTCTTCCCCCCAAGCTCTGTAGATCCTTCTCTTTCACCGGTACCGGACTTCTTCGATTCTCCTTCCAGTCATGCTTGCCGTAAAGCTCTTTCTATTGTTTGGCTAGCATAGTTTTGTTGGAAATAACCAACTGATGTTGACTTACAGTTAGAACATTTTTTAAATAAAAGCTTCAAGACCATATCAATTGAATACTTTCAATATTTTCTTAACTTTTAAATCAAACATGTTCTTCAAGTGGCTTGCCATGCTGGCATTCTGATATATTTAGAAGTAATATTAGAGAAATGAAAGCGTCTTATAGATACATTTTTACTTACCCCGTATACGTACGTATATACGGAGTAATATACGTAATATAGAGAGAGCAATGTAATGCATAGTATAGAGAAAGAAAATAATCGAATTCGAGATTTCAACGGAAATACGCTTTTTTACGCCCTGATACCGAATTTTTATTCAAAACGTCCGTCCATTTGGTGTCTGTGAACACTACTAGTGCCTAAACCATGAGAATGATTTTTTTTCAAAAAGAAGAACACTGTCGTTCTGGCTCGAGTCAAAACTTTGAGATTTTGAAAAATATTCTTCAAAATTTTAGGGTACTTTACATGCAGCCTTCCGGTAATTTTCCAAATTTTGTCAAAAAACTGCTCAAAATTTGTTCTTTAAATTTCTTGTATAAATAGAGTAAAAACTATTTTTTTTTAAATTACACAAATATAATTTTTTTGAAATATCTCACACCATTGGTATGCCCATTTCCAACAATTTGTAGACACTTGTATTTGTGATTTAAAGTGTTT